CCTTCAGGTATTTAAGAATTATATTGCCTTCAACTTCAATTTAATTTAAGTCATACAGGCGTGTCTCATTTCAGTCTAGAAATAATCCAGCCCTCAAGAGTCACGTAATCACCACGACGAACGTTCATTAAAAGCGAGATGATGGCGGATAAAATTCTGCAATTTATCACGGTCGATGAATGGATCCTAAAGGTTTCGCGAGAGCTGATTATCCGCTTCATTATATTACGCCGTGTAAACTGCTGAGCTGCCCGCCATGTGCGCGATTCTAATTTTACGAAAAGTGATTATCCTCTATATAATTATCCCGTGGAAGATTATGCCGTGAAAAACGAGTTAGGTATATCAGACTTATATCACGGCATGCGGCAGCCGGCGTGATTAAACAATGCATAGACGAGTGGCAATAAAGTGCAAGTAGCGCAATATTTGCGCGCTGCGACATTCACGTCCTAACTCGTACCTCGTTCGAGATATTCGCCTCGTGGCGAGATACTGGTAGTATTTGTTCAATTGAAACTGGTCAAAAAGAGAAACTGGGTACACAATGCGGGGAAATATTTGATTAAATGCCTAGTGTCTACAAAAAAAAATCATTGTTTTTTCTTTTATAGATATATTTATTTTAGTTGCTGTTGCAAGTTTAGACACGTTTGGATACAAACTATACTAGACGTGTGTACACAGTAATAAAAACGTGAAATGTGTGCGTTTTTTATTTTTTACATTTCGTAAAAAACTTACAAAGTGAATAAATTGCAGGATTTGTAGATATAATTAGAAAAAGCATTCTTCATAAGGAATGCAATTAAAAAGTTATTAGAGCGAAATTGCCTCAAGCTCCACGTGACGTTTACAAAGGTATTCAATTTTTATCAAAGTCATCGCATGCAACTTAACGGGGCTAAAAAAAACGTACGTCAGAAATGTGCAGTGTTCGGAGATTTCCTTATGACGGTAGTACTTTGCGATTTCCTCGGTTACATTCGCTGGTTACTGCTCATGAATAAATCTGGTTACTGCTTTCTTATTATTCTAATGCAAACTCGGAAGTCTGCGCCAGGAAGCTTGCGTTCATATTGCATAAATCCGATGTCGAGTGGGTCGTTGAAATTTTTACATCAAGCGCAAAGCTTCCAACGAATCGGTCCCCAGGGTGCGGACGTCTACAGCACGCAAGATATTTTTTCTTTCTTTTACATCGGCCGAGGGGATCGCAAATATAAAATATTGCTCGGAAACGCCGGAGATTACGGCACTTTTCCTTGAGATAATATCGTCGCCATTGAAAGCGTACCCGCTTAATTTTTTTCTTTTCCATGCTCGACGCGTAAATTTCTTTCCCTATTGAGCACTTGTGACAACGACACAATATTCCATCTAGAGGATTCTGCAAGCAGTTACATGCCATTTCTTGCGACTTGTTCTCCCATATTTGAATAAAATTCCCACTGTAGCCACAAGAGTAGAGGAATAGGGGAGGTAGATATTCTACTTTTCCATCGTCATCCCGTTTGCGCAAAAATACTCGAAATAAGATATTTTAAAGAGAAATGTTTTCGATTGCAAATAGCTTCATGAAAGTCCAATACTGCAATGTAAATCAAAAATATTGACACAACAGAAGCGTTGCAAACTACAGCTGCATAAGCTGTTACTGACAGATCCCGCGGTAAGAATTAAAAATTTACGATTTTAAATCTTTTGTTGAATCAAAGATTACAATTTGCAATTTTACTAGTTTCCTGCATTTATATTTTTAACAGCCAAGCATAGTCAGATTTAATTTTTATATAACAAAAAAATTTATTTAAAATTCTGTAAAAATTAAAAAATTTTGCTGCCTATTTCTATCCTATACATTCTATCACAAATTAATTTATTAAATTTTTGAAATTTTTATGCAATATTACCATATAATTATAAATCCTAAATGTTAACTCTCACTGTATATATCTAATTTTACATTTTGCACATAATAGCGAATTAATTATCGTTATTGAAAGTTAATTACTATCAATTTTATTATTTTATTACTCAAATTAATGATTATTTAATTCTGTTTATTATTTAAAATATATTACTTTATTGTAAATCTATTGACACGATAAATCACATTAATACAATATAAACGCATACACAATGTTTCGCAAATTTTATCGCACTCCACGTATGTTGAATAAAGCAGTGACATGAAGTATGGCGCACTGGAAAAGAATTAATGATAGTCGCCGGAAACTTGGTTTATCTATACCTTTCTTTGCCGTACCCGCAAATTTTCGCTCGATACAAACATTTCTTTGTATGGGAACGGAAACATTCTCCCGACTTTCCACACTTCCGCTCGTGGATCAACGTCACCCGCTGCAACGTCCTCGTTTGGCAACATTATTCTATACTTTGACCCACAAAGTTTCTCTTCGAGCGATGTCGATAAATCTTTACGCAAACAAGACCTCAGGAAAGTTGTGCGAATATACGAGCACGCGGGAGTGTCTTCGTCGATAAACATGTGAGCAAAAACGACGATGTACGTTTTACAGCGTAATGCTTCTATCATTTTGTATATCGAATAACAAAGGGTAGTGTAACTTTCGCGACGAAAAGATCAACTCTAAACTTGGCAAACCGAGGAAACCGAGGAATTACGTAATCGAGGGGAAAGTTATCGTATATACAATATAATAAAATAGAGAATAATTTATACAGATAAATATCATTTTCATAGGCATTTTCTTTGTGCATTTATTCTTTTCATTTTTACGTTGAATTTTTTCACTTGACTTCAGAGGAGAACGATTTATTTGAACGAAGTTGAACGATAGTAAAGTGTGTACTCAATACCTCACTATATAACAACAGAAATTTATATTGTTCTCCTGCAAAGTATATAATAAATAAAAGTACACACAGCGCGGTTCAGGAAAGGATTCGAATGGTTTCATTCAATTTATAGATGTATCCTCGTTCGTTTACTTTCAGAGCCACTCTTATACCTCGAAAAGACAAATATAAAACACAAACCTCGAAGTCATTCCCTCTTGAAATTCCTGTCGTATCGCGAAAACGATCCTCTCCATTCTCCAGTTCAGGCAGAAGCTTTATGTATAATGATGTGTATCGGCGTTTCATTTTTTGAATTGTAACAATACTCGCATTCACAATTATGTCCACATGAACGAAAACTCAATAATAACAATGAAAACATTATAATTGCAATCATCTCATATTTTCATTAATACAGTAGTAAATTAGTATCAAAATACGTAAATGTGTATAAATTGATTTTCGACTATATTTTATATACGCGGAACGAGGTATTTTATTGAAGTTCGTCTGACTCTGCCGCGCAGTAACTACTTCATGTCTTCTCTCGCTATAGCAGCAACTACTTGCAGCAAAGATTAAGCAAATTTGCTAACTTTACTAACTCCGTCTGTTTCTATATTACGTCGGTTGCGCCCCGAATGTAATCTCAGTTAGAACGTAGAAAGAACCTTTACCTAAACTGGGGATTTATATAGCGCAAGTCGTCAGTGAAAGCAACGTAGTTAAATAAAAAGAAAAAAAAAGAAAAGCAAGAAAATAATCTAAACCGGTGTCAGAAGATTTTCGACCGCGACATTCGGGATTTCGACGTCGATTGACTTCGTCGCTGAAATAATCCTCGCCGGGTGCGCGGGTTTAACATTTCCCGATAAGCAAAATATATCGTCCTGGCCAGCGTTTGACGTCGCCCGTTCCGAGATATATGGTTCTCACTAACACCCCCGAGAGTTACCAAAGTCGATGGTAAATTTCGTACCTCACCTCCTCTCGTTTCCCCCGAATTCGTTCCCGCGTTCTCGTATTGCGGGAGAAAAATATCGAATATTTTCGATGGAAAAGCGCAGCGGTGGCCATTGCACAAGAATGAACGAGAAATTTCGGAGTCCGGTGCACCGAGAGGCTGTAAATCTCTTTCTCGTTGCTACGACGACGACGACGATGACAACGATGATCGAGTCGACCCCTTCTATCCGTTTAAAATTCCGCTTCGATCGCGTTTAAAAGTTCACCAAGCCGTGACATCTTTGTCAATTTTCCTTTTTACAGCCACCCGTTATGCGCGCCATGATTGCGTTACAATTTTACATTACGTAATCGTTTAACTCTTTCAATGCGAAAAATTCTTCTTTTGTTATTACTAATAACGTATTTATAACTTATAAAAAATTCTATAATTTAAATTTTTATAATATTATTAAATTTTATAACTTACAAAGGTCTAAGATTAAATGAAATATTTCTTTCAAAAGTGGCAAGATTAACTCCTTGCGGAGAACTCTGACGGGAGCTTTCTAATAAAGAAACTTGAAGAAAGTCCTATTTTTTAAAGTTTTTTTAGAGTCGCTGAATTCGATTCTGGCCTCAGAATACTAAAATTTAAATTTCAAAAAAATTATCGTAAAACCAATTTTAGAAGGTTCTTGAGGTTGAACGTAGCTTAAAAATATCAAATTTTAAACTAAAGGTAGTAATCTCTATGAAGAAGAATACAATGTCATAAAACAATTTAATCAGAGTTTAAAAATTAGTTTAGAAATCAATTCTAATCATCTGAAGAATGGCAAATAAATCAAAACCAGAAATTTTATGTTATAATATATATATATTTCGCAATTAAAAATTTCCTAAAACGCCGAGTTTTATGATAATCGGATTAATATTTTTGAAATTCTGTCTGTCATATCGAATCTATTTCGAGTCTATTTCTATTTTTCATTTTTTACCTTCAATTTGAATAAAGCAATAATAAAACTATTTTATAGGCTCCATAAAGTCATATATGATTCATAAAACTCGAGCAAACAGTTTACAAAATAAAAAGAGATGATCAAAACGGAATCGCGAAGAGTCTACAAGACTTAAGGTAAAATTAATTCTAAATTGATAACATATTAATTAAGTTTCTAATTTCTAATTTGTTACACATGTGTTCACAATAAATTTGTGTCGTAATGCTTTGGCTAGCTGACTTGTCAACTCTCAATTGGTCACCGAGCTCATCCAAATTACGGGAGACGCGGGACACTCTGGGTACGATATACCGGCCGCGAGAGAAGAATGAATCCTCAGAAAAATTTACGAGCGCAAGGAGATATGGCCGCTGTCGGGACAGTCGGTGTATACGCACATCGTTCTCGCGATTTATATCCTAAGGAGCAAAACGGCGACGAGTAATGGCGCGGCGATACAGCTCGCGGAGACTGACAGGTGAAATACGGAACAGATCCGGGCGTTTTGTTCAAGTCGCGCAGAGACGGAGGAAGGACGGCTGTGCGAATTATGGGCGACGTTGTGTTTAGCGTGCTCTCTCCTCCCCACGAGAATCCGATTCCGCTTCTCCTGCTTTCTCTTCTTTCTCTCTCACTTCCTCTCTCTCTTTCTCTCGCAGAATCTCGCCGCGAAGCGTGATTCCGATACCACACGGGTAACTCCGGATGAATTCCGCGCGCGCATGTACGACACAGGGCGCGTGATAAAGCTCAGGGGCCACCTTTCGTTGGCGCGCCGTTAACGCTCGACACCATTTTTTTTTCGCGACGATATATCTACCGGCGTATTTATCTCGCCCAAAATTTACCCCGCGGCGTGTAGGGATGTAATTAAGTCAAGCACGCTTTTTCCGCCGCGCTCGTTTAGCCGCGTGAACAACGGAATTTCTTTGTGAAGGGTGCTGCATTTTTTTTACACGATGAAATCGTATAAAAAGATATACCGCAAAAACTGATGTAGTTAACCACGAAAGAAGAAATCCTTTAAATTAAAGCTTTTGAGTGCTCGCAGCATTGTTCTTTTCACAATTTTATTTTAACTACATCAATTTACCAATGCTGTGACGTTAAATTCGCACAATAGAAGACTCTCGTACACTCAAATGGCTAATCTAGTACAGTACAAGTATAAACTAAAGTAGAACTTTCGTTAACAAGGTTATTATATAACATTGTTATTAACAAGAAATCTATTGTAGTTGATATTCATTAATCTTCGATTATAAATATATTATTATATATTATAATATAAAAAATCCATGTAACTGTAAATAATGTAATAAATGCCATAAATAATGCCATAAATAATGTATTGAGAATAATAAAATGTATAGTGTTATTAACTCGAAAGTAGAGCCACTTCACTTTTTTTTTTACATAAACGTTTACCTGTTTTTACATCCTAATTACAATTATATTATTAACAATATATATTAGTTTCTTTCTTCTCTTGTTTGTAATATATATTATTACTTCTCGATTTATATATTTATATAGCATTTGAAAATATTATAAGTATAAATATAATTATAATTTTCTGAAAAAAGTACAATAATAAGCACATTAAATATGACTAATTATAATGATAACATTAAAAAAAAAATCAAATGATCTAAAAAATTTTTTTAAATAAATAAAGATTTTAATTAATATAACACTTTTTTATTGCGCGTTTTTGATAAAATTGCATATTGTCAAAAATTGTCAAAAATAGTTAATTTTAAAAAAAGGAAAAAATATGTTAAACAATATCTACGTAAAACAATATTTCAGAATTTACATTTTTTCGTAGCTGGGATGCAACGATATCCCAGGTGACTATTCCCAGATTAAGAGACAAAATCTCGTAAAAAATATTTGATCTAGAATTATATGTACGTGTCATTCGTGATGAGAAAATTCGTTCATCGATTTGTCGCGAGATACAAAATTTCTATGTGTCGGGCTTTCAATCCGCCAAATCCTTACGGAGGAAGGAAGCGAGCCCAAGATAGCTTCGGCGGATTACCTCATTCCAATAGGTCGATTTTTCACGAAGACATGACGAAAGAGAGATGTCGAATGACGTTGCGGTGAATCACAGCGAATCAATCTCTGTCTCGTTACAAGCGCCCTTCCTCGTACGACTTCATGAAGTCGTACGTTCTCCTTCGATATTTTGTCAGAATCGATCGTTCACTCTCCGTACCTAGTTACTCGCTTGAGTAGTCGAGAAGGATTAATAACTACGTGTGTTGCGCACATAACATTGGAGTACTAATTAATCGCCCGTCAGCTTTTACATGAGAAGGTAGGGATCGAGATATTAATAAGCTTGCGGCACAGAGAGTAACTAGAATTGTTGTCAGGTTTCTGGAATTGCGAAAGTTAGTAACGATGTTCTTAATTATGTCGATATTGCTAATTCTGAGAAAGATGGAATTTATTGCATGTTGGTTGGCGGACGTTGTTATTAAATCTGTTTAAATGGTAATGCCACGAGGTAACAACGATGTCAGACAACAATTCCGACAAATAAATGTAACGGTATACAGATAAACGTAGAGAACGTTGGAGAACATAATCTTTATAATTACAGAATTACATAATTGCCAATCGAAAATCACTAGCTCGTGTAAGTATAATTACAACGGTCCTTTAGCAAGATTCTCGGTGCTTATTAAGCAAACTTCGAATTCCGAAAATTGGCAACGAAACGTGTAACACGCTCATGTAATCGAGTCTAACTTCGACTATTAAACTTAACCCAAATGGCCACGTAGACTGTGATAACACAACTGTTCTATTAGTAATTAGACAGCAACTTTATATTGATTACGTTGATTTCTAGATTACGCTCATTATCATTATCTCTCTCTTTCTTTCTCTATTACATTTTAGTAAATATCACTATGTACCCACTATGTGAAAAACCGCATTACAATGCCGTACAACGCTAGCTATTACGCAAATTGACCATAATGCGGTTATGTTAGCAATGTAAAATAGTGATATATTCCAATTACGCTAACGAATCGAATGAAGTTTCGAGTCGATTTTTTCCAATCCACGCGACGATATAAACTTCACGCACAACGCGAGGGAGTTGATCATCCAGATAATTAATTTACATCGCGCGTGCTACCGCTATAAATTTGCGGCGAAATTCCGCTGCGGTATCTGTCGACAATGTATATACGTATGTAATTAGCGTTAATCGATTAATTGGCTAGTATCCAATCTTATCCCTCCGTCAGCATTTCACGGTTCATTGAGCGACAGCAATTGACCAGAAAGTTTCAAATAAAAAAATTTTTCTCTTTTGGGCGTTAATGCAAAAAAGAAAAATATTAAGGACAGGATGAGAGAGACGAAAGGGAAGGGACTTGGGCAAACAGTTTAAATCAAACGTGAGAAAACCGAATTAATGAGGATTAGCACTAATCGACGGGCAACCATCTCTCAGAATTCTAATAATCGCTTCGGGGTAATTAAATTAAACATAATTAGGGTGCAGCATTAGAAGGCTATAAAAGTAGATCTTCGAGAGGATTAACGCGCAAAGTTAAATCGCTTTTGTAAACTCGGATGTTATAAGCTTGATGCCTCTACTTATCACATCATCCGTACTCTCTTCTCTCATAACCTTGACTAATAAATGGATGTATATCAACTTAAAAAGCAGCACGGAAACTATTCCCTTAACTATAACTATTTCCTGCATTACGTTTTAGACTTTATTATCTCACTGCTCTTATTTAGGATTAACATCTTTCCATGTAGAGTCCATTTTAGAAAATTTAAATTTCATGAATGCTTAAGACAAAAGTTACATAAATGTTTTTATTGATAAAAATGAGAATTTTATGGATATAATTCTCAACGATATCCTTTAATGAGTTGTTCGGTTTATGTTGTTATACATATAATAAAACAAAAAGAAATAATGAAACTCCATGGCGTTTCTCTTGACATAAAGCCGTCAACGTGTCCGCTTTATTACGCTGAACGGCAATGTATAAAGTACATTACGAGCCATAAAGCAATCATAAGGTGAGCGCATAAAAATGCGCTGTAAGTCTTTTGAAAATCGCGGAATATTAAGTTTACTTAGAACATCTCAAACCAACCGCAAGACCATTTCGCGAACAGATCCCCTGAGGAATTTGATATTGATTTTCGCTGAATGTGAAAAACGTCGAAAAATGTAATATACTGCGATAAACGCTTTTTTTATTCATTACCATTGTATAACATTAATTCAAATCCTTTATTTGCATTGGCTAAATACTGGATATTAAAGAAATGAGAAACGACATTCTAAAAATATTTTCTATTATCACAGATAAATTAATTAATGTGACCATAATTTCTAATAATTTTATATCCCTTAAATATGTAATCGTTACTTCTGGCTTTTTTGTGACAATTAATTATAAACTAATACGATCAATGAAAATAATTATGATATTTTATAAGACAATAAATGCAATATTTAAATATAATTAAATTAAATATATATAATATTAAATATGTTTCAATTATGAATTATAAATTGTTATAAAATATGAAATATATAATTATGAAAATTTTATATTTGACAAATATCCTTTAAATTAAAGTAATAGGGAAGCGTGGTAAAATGATTTCTTTCGCTGATAAATATTTTGCTCCAATCTGCTACAGTATTATGGCTATATCTTTAATGATGTTATGAGATTAATCAAAGTGGAGATCTCTCTCTGAGCTGTACCACTGATACCAGCGCAAGGTCGGTCCTTAATTTACCAGCGTATAATTCCAAGCTGGCGGGTGACCCTCGAGGGCCACCTTAGCGTTAACGAGTCCCCCTCGTCTGCGGGATCGAGAGTGGCGAAAAGCCTCGAGGGTGCTCGTATTTTAGGAACCAATCGAGTGTTGCAGGGTGCGGCTAAGAAGCGAATGTTCTCTCGGCGCCGTTGGGACGACGCTGCACTCAGTGCAAAGAGAAGAGACAGGGGATGGTGGGAGTGAGGGGTGGGGGCTTCATCGATTTCTTACCCCGTGGCCCAGTAACGCGTTTCGTGGGACCGTCGTGTACCGTCATTGGGTGTAGCTACCCCCGACGAGAGGATCTTGATGCACCGCAGAATGCACCAAGCCCGATCGAGGAGATCACCGATCGTCTCTTCGATCGTTCGCGTTGAGTTTTTGTGATGGTAGCGCTTAAATCCTCTCGTTAGCGCGCAGGATTTTATCATTTTAGCGCGACTTCAAAGCAAATCTTTTGCCATATTAGATGGAAAATTTGACGTCATTAAAATATGATTTTAAAGTATATTTTCTAATACAATCATAGAATCTTAATACACGTTTGATTACATTATTATAATTATTTAACAAAATGATAATTCTAATTTTTTAATATTTTAGTAATTATAAAAAATTAAGAAAACTAACTAATATTTATTATATTTATAAAGCTACTTTATATTATTGTTTTGAAGTTTTATGTTGTTTTAATGCCACATCAAGTTGTACTCGTAAATAGTTTAATAATTAATACAAATGTTCATTAGCATTAAGCTGCTTGTTGGTGATTAATTTATTAATTCGCATATACGTTTATAATGACATTACACATTTTTATCATAATATAAATCATAATATTATTAATATTTTCACTATTGAAAGTATTTCGAAATTAGAACTCGATACTCGAACAAAAATGAAGATACAGCAGCTGAAGTAAAACTAGGAACTTTCCAAGGGCCAGTAAAAAAATAAATTTCCGTAACTATACATAAAACTTGTTCATTCACGAAAAATGTGCGATGTATCGCGATTATGCTAATCTCGTGTCGCGTTACCGCGGTATACGGGTTCGTATTTAGTGCTAAACGCAAACGCATCGTACATCGTGTAAAGTTGATGTAATCTATTAAAAGGAAAGCTAACGTTCTCCGTTAACAATGATGAACAACCGGAGCGGTAACATTTACGATAAGCACAATGATGAATTATCATTACGTAAATTTCGCTTATCATGATCCTCCTGGTTACACTTGCGTGCTGTATATCCACGCGCATCTGGTACGTAACTTCATTCCAGTTACGTCGGAAACTGCGAGCTTACGAATCAATCATGTTTTCCGATTAGCGCAATCTTCACGAAAATGAGCCATATTTATTTTCCAGAAGTTGTTAACAATAAATGGCTCTTTTAACGACAATGGTTTAATAACCGGTTGTCGGGAGTTTAATGGCAATCTCGTATAATAATATGATTTTCTCGTGTTAAATTGGTTCAGTTGTTCAATTGCGTGTTAATAACGCGATACCACCAGTCTCTTTCATCTCGTAGATTTTGTTTACATTAACGCAAGCTCTAAAATCATGTTTCGCGATAATGTCTAAATCATGTCGGTATAATTTGCAATAATATTTCTCGATTGCTCTCTATTTCGAAACCGTGATCAAGCAAACTAAAATATTTATTTGCATGGCAAACGAGAAACTCGATTACGCATTGTATTATTGTATAATTGTCAATTAATTTCTTCTGTAAAGGTATTTATGTATTGAACAATTAAATAGCATTTTAATCAATTAAATAACAATGAAAAGTTATAACATTAATAAATTTATAATTTAAACAAAAATAATTATTTATTTAAATTTATAATAAAAGTTTTCTATTCTATTTGCCACACGAAACATTATACTATATCGGATAATATTTGTGCTCGTTAACAGCAAATTTGTTACATTCATAACTTGGACGATGCAAAAAACGTGGTAATCCTAATTGTCCGTGAATTATAAAATATTTGTTTTCGCGAAATATAATCTAGAGCTTAATCTCAAGATTAAGGACATAATTGTGGAGGAAGATTCTTCAGGATATAATTAACTCCCAATTAAATTAAACGACAGTGTCAAGCACTCGTAACGTTAAGGTCCACACGTGCTCTTCTAAATTACTTCGCACTTCGCGGAATAGCTAGAAAGGACGGGACTCGCGCTTGGATTAACTTAATCAACCGAGTATTTGCCAAGCGAAGGAAACGGCCATGGAGTTCAAGCAGGATGGAGTTCGAACAGGAGGGTGGCTCTCAGGACAAATTGGCCGCGTCGTATTGTCGGCGTCGAACGGGAATATATTTAATGGATTTCTCTCTTGTTAATACGTTCGGTGTACACGCGTTTCATTTCACGATTTCGCATATAAATAAATATATACGCTTGATTTCTGCTGCGTGTTTTTAAATGGCTGTTGCAGCTGAAAATATGCGACGAGGCGCGGACTAAAACATTCGTCGAATAAAACGCGGCTTACATTGATTTAATTCAGCGATTAATTAAAACAAATTCGCCGTTGGTTAATTCGCATTATACAGGCGTTTTCTGAACTTTTAATAACGCGACACAGCGTAATTAATCGTACGTTTAAATCCCTTTATAATGAACCGCGGCGTATCGGCGAGCCGATAAAATGACAAATATTCCTTGTACATTATGCCGCGGATTATGCAAAATTTATGCGGAACTGATCGATGTTTACCGCTCTCCTTACCGCCATAAAATGCGGTTAAGGGCTTAATGTACCAATCCAGAAAAAGCTCCTGCAATTATACATTTTTCTTCTAACGGGCAACCTAGTTCCATCAATAAATGTCTACTTCTGGAATGAAGTGCCGTTATCTGAAACTACTTAACCTTTTTGCTCGCGGCGACCGGTAATTGCCCATCTTAAATTTCCGTAACGGGGCGAAAAAATGATTAACGGTCCAGGATTCTTTATCATCCAAGTTCCGTACTTTAGTGCAAAGTGCATTAAGACCAAGATCCGCGGGAATATATAATACGAGGGATAATGTTAGAGTAGTGTGTCTCGATCTGAAAAAAATTCTCTTTTATATACCATTTTATATATGGTAATTTCTTTAGGATTTTTTTTTTTATTAAAATTAAAATTATAATTTTTTTCTATAAATCTGACCTTCTTTGCACCAACTTTTAAAATCAACAACTTAATATTTATAACGATTAGCACGATGCTTTGCACACTTAACCCATTTTTACTCAAGTAACACTTGATTTTTTAATTTAAATTCTAATGGTGTAAATTAAAGTCTCTAATGATGAAATTTTTTTGACATGTTGCAGTAACAAAATTCATTCGCATCGGGATAGCTGACAAGAACGATAATCCTCCATATTTCGACAAGGGCCTCTACGAGGCTGAAGTAGATGAAAATGAGGACATTCAGCATACGGTGCTCACCGTCACCGCCAAAGATCACGACGAGTGTAAGTACTTGCCTTTTTTTTAGCAATACCATTTCATCAATTATTTTCATTCTATTTAATATAAACTACACTGAAAAGATTCGCGCGGTCCATATATATACATATTAAATACTTGTAACTATATTATAACGTGCCCGCAAGTGTACCTTGGAAATATTTGGACAACTAATTATACAAATATATAATATACGTTGTGTTAATTCTAATATACGAAGTAATTAATGATATATATATATATATATATGATATATAGGAATTTCGAAACGCAATCTCGTTTGTCACGTTTGACAAGTTTAACGTAATGACATAGAAATTCCCGTAAATACACTTGCGAACGTCAGGTATTATATTTCATACACAAAAGGATTGCCATCTCCGAAAATTCAAATTCCATTACTCTAATTCACAGTGTACCGAAATTAATAATTACGTATGCATTATAGAAATGTTTGCTACACAGTGGATGCGTTTAAACGTGCGGATTATGTGCGAAAGGTTACGCACGCAATATGTATGTCCCAAACATAAATTAAATAGCACCTCATCTCATTTACTTTACCTTGATATTTAATCTTTTGAGTAATACGGATAAACAGGCCATTAAACGTATTTTCACATTTTGGAAACGTTTAATTTGTAGCTTAACAAAAATATCCATTATACACTGAAATTGATGATATTTACGCTTCAGCATTTACAAAGTATGTTACAAAAGATTTCGAGACCAGACGTATACTTTATTTCTTTTAAATCGACTACATAGCTGACGTTGTGTAAATATAATATTGAAAGAACGATACATAATAAAAAAAAGTGCGACTAAATCGGTTTGTAAAAATAAATATGTAACCTTCTATATATTTATTCTTTCAGATATTTTGATATTACAATTTACAATCCAAATATTGATTGTGCTTTTAAAATCCAACTTGACAAAGGGTTGAAAATGAAGAAAATGAAAAAAATACTCCCACAGTTGAGAAGGTTTAGAACAAAAGTAGTGTATTACTAAAAAAGAGATATGGTTCGAAATTTTTGATCTTTATACTATCGCCTGAGTCGATCTAAAATAGAATTTACCGGATACCATTATTGTCAAGTAACTTTTGCTAGTCTCATATCTCGAAACACGAGAATTATCGCGAACTAGATCGAAAGTATCGAGTAGACTTCGAACGATCGAAGACGGCCATCTCCCTTCGTGCTAACATCCCCCCAAACTTTCTTATTCGATAAAACTCGCTCCCAGCGAGAGAACTTTTATCTCGGAATTCATTCGATTACAACGAAAGCGCCGTTGCGAGAGTCGCACCTTGCTTTCATTAAAAGTACACCCTCCTTTCTGTCGCAGCCTCGCGTATTCGATACGAGATCACGAGCGGGAACATAGGCGGTGCATTCGCCGTGAAAAACATGACCGGCGCCATTTACGTCGCGGGTGCGTTGGACTATGAGACGAGGAAGAGGGTTGGTATCGCCATAAATGTCATCCGAGCGTGCCGCTTGAACGCCTTACTTTTATAGCTGTTTATTTAACATCTTTGTATTCAGAAATATCGTTTAAAAATATTTTACTCGTTAAAAAATTCCAATTATTATTTTTTACTTATTGTGTTATTTGAAGATAATTGCCGAATAAAAAATATTAAACAATTAATTTAATTACCTTTTTAATTATTCAAATTTAAATGAAGGTAATGAGGTTTATTTTATGTAAGCACTATTTTTATTTCGTAATAAGTCCTGTACAGAAAGATCATGTAATACAATATATTGCAATATACTACAATTATATACTAATCGATAATTGATACAACGACAATTGAGTTAATTTTGTATAAATTAATAATTGATATAGTGCCAATTGAGATAATTATATGAATTGATAATTGATTTAATGCCAATTAAGATAATTAAATAAATTGATAATTAATGACAATTGAACTAATTATCCGTACATTTCATGCACACGTGAAAGTTGTATTTAATCTATTAAATATGTGAACTCTCTTTAATGTGATATTTTACGAGAAAATTTTCGCGTGCGTCTTGTAGTATGAGCTTCGGCTTACTGCGTCGGACAACTTGAAGGAGAATTATACGACAGTTGTAATTCACGTGAAGGACGTAAACGACAACCCGCCTGTCTTCGAACGACCAAATTACAGAACACAAATTACGGAGGAGGACGACAGGACTTTACCGAAACGCGTTCTTGGGGTAATTACTCTCCTTATGTAATCATTATATAATATTAAACTTTTGTGAAATTATATTCGTCGAATGAATGTTTACTTCGTCCACACAGTGAGATTGCGGTTAATTAGCAATTAATATTTGAATCGCAGGTCACCGCGACTGATGGTGACAAAGATAGACCGCAAAACATTGTCTACTTCCTAACTGGGCAAGGTATTGATCCCGATAATCCTGCGAACAGCAAGTTCGACATCAATCGCACGACCGGGGAGATTTTTGTTCTGAAGGTCTGTTCTTAAATCAATTAACATCTTTTGTTTAAGAAAAATATTTTATCGTTAAAAAAAATTAGATATTTATCACATATAAAAATAATGTATATACAGTATGTGTATATTAAGGATGTATTAGGTATAAAGTCTCTATAAAAAGTCACTAGAATTAGAAATATACACTTATCATTTATAAATTAATATTACGTGTAAAATAATTTAATAAGGACAATATTGATACTTAACAACATAATTTTAGAATTTAAATAAAAATAATCTCATTTTAATTATTTTTTAAGAATACATTTATATATTTCTTGTTAATATAATTTTTTATCCAGGTTCTAAATGCGCCACCAAATTTTTTATATTATTTTTATAGTACAGTATGGAAAAATCTGTAATTTTTATTTTGTTAAAAAGTACGCGTAATACATCCTTAAACACGCGAAAATATTCGTTAATATATCATTTTTTACATTCGCGTGATACGCGAATTTTTCAAGCTTATATTGAATATAACTATTACTGTGCATCGCAATATAGAAAGTATTACAAATTCTCTTTAAATTTTTAATACTAAAAATATAAAAAATATGAAGCATGACGGTAGCATTTCTTTTTCGTTCATAATTACAAAATTAATGAAACCGTAAAATTAAAGAATTTTGTTGAGTTTATCTTGCAGAGTTGAAATAATAGTTAATTCTGCTTTCTAATTAATTTAATATGTAAATTTTACTTCAATAAAGATTTAATTTAACATACGACTAAAAAGATTGCAAAACGGTTACTCGGAGAGCAGCTGATTCTGTATTGATATTACACATCTGACATAATCTAACACCTGGTCGATACGGAAATTAATTCTTCTATGACTACAAAATGCACATATTTGTGCACGTGGCTGCGACGCAATATTGCGATGGAATAATTCAAATATCAGCATCGCGGTACGATATTGAGTTTCGAGTAAAGACCGTGTCAATACACGACGTCCTGGTCGAATCCTACGTTTGACTGCAGGCTTCTCAAAGGATTCGCGCGTGACTTTTCTTTTTCTCCCGATATAGCCGTTGGACAGAGATCAACCAAATGGTCGGCCACAGTGGCGGTTCACAGTGTTTGCTCAGGACGAGGGTGGAGAAGGTCTGGTGGGTTACGCCGACGTCCAAGTTAACCTCAAGGACATCAATGACAACGCCCCGATATTCCCGCAGGGTGTCTACTTCGGCAACGTCACCGAGAACGGCACCGCAGGTTTGTGGGACATAGTCAATGGGCTATACACAGACGCGGTTACATTCCCGTGCCATTAGAGTTACGCTGATTAGATTCCAGTTTCGTAGTAGTTACACTGTTATATACAGTTCTACATGTAATGATGTTGATTGAATGAATATTTTAAAACTTGCGATAAAGATAAAGAGAAAGAGAGAAAAAATGTAACGATTTATTAAGAGATAAATTATTTATTTTCGCCGACAAATAAAAAAAATGTAAGAACGAAAAAATGGACTATAAATGAAATTAACGCTTTTTATGCTCTTCTTCATTAGGAATGGTAGTAATGACGATGACAGCTGTGGACTACGATGATCCAAATGAAGGCACAAACGCAAGACTTATCTATTCCATCGAGAAAAATGTCATTGAAGAAGAGACTGGTTCACCCATTTTCGAAATTGAATCGGAAACTGGCGTTATCAAGACCGCTGTGTGCTGCTTGGATCGAGAACGCACCCCGGATTATTCTATACAAGTCGTTGCAATGGATGGAGGGGGGTTAAAGGGTAAAATTCTTTCAGTGCTTTTAAATTGAATAAGTTTTCACATAATTTTTAATTATAGTGTCATTAATAATCATCATAATTATTTTTTCAATAATTCTCACACATCTAAAATATAAAAATGGTTTAGTAATAATTGTGATAGAGTGTTGTGTGTTTTATGAGAAATTGATTCATTTTTATTTTATTTCTATGAATACTATCTAGTAAAATACTTTGTCGTAAAGATAAAAAAAGATATCGACTGTTTGCGCTTACTCTTTACATTTTTGTTATACCTTACACTCGTTTACTAAAATATTACTAAATGTTCTCTCCATGCGTCCTTTATCATTTTGGGTCTTCATTCGTATTCAAGTATGAAAGTCGAGTCCGAACCATGTGTGTAAAACGATTATGGATATTTCCATGAACAGTAGCAATGCCGTTTTGCATGTTTTAAGAGCTGTCCAGGGCATTCCATAGAAAGGCATCGTTTCAGCATTTCTATGCATTTCTTGATAGGTACCGGGACGGCATCGATACGGGTCAAAGACATAAACGATATGCCACCACAATTCACGAAGGATGAATGGTTTACTGAGGTGGATGAAACAGAAGGACCAGATCTGCCAGAGATGCCGATACTCACCGTAACCGTCCACGACGAGGACGAGACCAATAAATTCCAATACAAGGTATCCATTTATGTTCGCGACGCGAAATTGTTAATCGGCTTAAAACTGGGGGATGATTAAATTTAATATATAAGTTATTGTATTCTTCTTTGTACTCATTCGACGTTTAACTTTCATTTAACGAGTAATTAAAAATGTTATCATAGCATATAAAATAAAGAAAAATATATAAACATATATATCAATTACTTTACAATTACAATTTACCGGAGTAAAATTTGTAGTTACGACATGTTATAATTTCATAAATAATACGGATAAAATTAAAAAGAGATGAAAGCAATTAGAAATAAGAATTGCAAAGTGTGTCTGATTATACTTACATATATTTTTAATATTATAAACTTTCGAGATCGAAATAATTATCAGTAATAATAACTAGAGTTCTTTTTTCTCAATATATACTGATAACTATATTTAGCAATTTTAAAAAATAACAATTCACGATTTAAGGTAATCGAGAATAGCGGTTACGGTGCCGACAAATTTACTATGGTACGAAACAATGATGGCACAGGATCGTTGAAAATTGTGCAATCGTTAGATTATGAGGACCAACTGCAGAGTAATGGCTTTAGATTTAGGATACAAGTGAACGATAAGGTAAGCAAAAAAGAAATTAAATATGACATAAATTTTTATAGTAATTTTGAAAAAAAAAAGAAAAGACGAGAGACATGAAGAAATATTCTAATTAAATATAATTTCATAAAACTTTCTATTTAAATTATATGTGCGCTTATAACATTCTTCATTAAATATTTTCTTCTATAAATTGATAGTTTTGCAAGAAAAAAAATTTTTTTGTATCTATTTAAATTTTTAAATTATCAAATCATTAAATAAAACCAATAAAGCAACTCGTCATGCATATAACAATTTAATGGAACAATCGTTTTTCCAGGGCGAAGACAATGACAATGATAAATACCACGTGGCCTATTCCTGGGTAGTCGTGAAATTGCGAGATATCAATGACAATCAGCCACAATTCGAGAAAGCCAATATCGAGACTACTGTACCAGAGAACGCCCGCATAGGCAGCAGCTTGGAAACGTTCAGAGCCACCGATCCGGATCAAGGTGGCAAGAGTAAAGTCTCGTATTCCATTGACAGAAGTTCCGATCGAAAGAGACAATTCTTCATCAACGAAAATGGCACCGTTTCGATACAGAGAAGCCTTGATCGCGAAGAAACTCCTCGGCATCAGGTAAATTATAAAATATCAACACGGATTAATAAATGAAAAATAAACAAAGTTAAAAAATTTTTGACGTTTAATTATTTTTATCATATAGAAAAAAAAGTAGAAGAGTCACATTTGATATAAAAATTATAATAGAATTCTAATTAAACATTTTACATATTATTATACATTTTAAATTAAAATGTATAAATTGTAGCATGAAAAAGTTATTAAAATATGATGATCTATTACCTCAGGTTAAAATTTTGGCAATCGACGATGGAATACCACCTAAAACCGCGACAGCCACCCTGACAGTCGTTGTACAAGACATTAATGACAATCCACCAAGATTCCTCAAAGACTATCGTCCAGTTTTACCAGAATATGCACAAACTAAAAAGGTCGTTGAGATTCTCGCTACCGACGACGATGATCGATCAAGGAGCAATGGCCCTCCGTTTACTTTCCGGATGGATCCTAACGCCAACGATGTTATCAGAGCTAGCTTCAAAGTTGAGAGCGATAACAGTAAGTTTCGTTAATTAATAAATTCAGTGTAAAAAATTACGACAAAATTCGCTGTTTTTACGTATATTAATATTATCTTCATATATTAATTATCACATATATAATTATAATATATTTTGTCTTAATTAATAATAAAAATTCAGTTGCATGAAAATGCAGAGAATAATGTAGTTCATCACTTATGCTCTCATTACTTTTCAGAGGGAGCTAATGGAGATGGAATGGCCGTAGTTTCATCTTTACGATCTTTTGACAGGGAACAACAAAAGGAATTTTTGATTCCCATTGTTATCAAAGATTCTGGAAACCCTTCTATGTCTGGGACCAGTACATTGACGGTTATCATAGGGGATGTTAACGATAATAAAATGCAACCTGGCTCTAAGGAAATCTTTGTATATAATTACGCAGTATGTATTTAAATTATGTTGAATTATATGCTAAATTATATAAATTATCCATATTACATCTAAATTTTTGTGCTGAATAACGAATCTCAAAAATTGCATAAGTGTATTTTTGCAAAAAGTCCCATAAATGCAATATAATGTAATTGAACACGATAAGCGAAGATCATATCCAGTTTTGCGATCAAAACGAATTTTGATGCTTAACAATGTTTTTGTGAAAATGTTTACAATTCAAACAAATTAATCTAATTAATTAATTCTTAGGGACAATCGCCGGATACCGAGATAGGTAGAGTGTACGTATACGATCTGGACGACTGGGATCTGCCTGATAAGAAATTTTATTGGGAGGGACTGGAACACGCTCAATTTAGACTCGACGAGGATTCGGGAATGATTTACATGAAATCTGGTACACACGACGGCAAGTATCACCTACGATTCAAGGTTTACGATCGGAAGCACACGCAGACAGACGTGCCCGCGAACGTGACCGTCACCGTCAAGAGTATCCCGCACGAGGCGGTGTTAAATTCAGGCTCAGTTCGAATATCCGGGATAACTGATGAGGACTTTATTCGTGTCTGGAATTATCAGGTGAGAGTTTTTAAATCCTACACTAAATATTATATAATTCACTTACACACATGTTACATTTTATTAATGAAATTACATATTTCTCTTAATATAAAATATATTTAGGCTCTTAAATTTCACAGATATAATTTTTTGAAACGTTTGTATTTTAACTCGGAAAAGAGTAATATAAAGTTAATTTAATTTTTTTTAGAATCAAACTTTATCACGGAGCAAGGCAGATCTATTCAGAGACAAGTTGTCGCATCTATTGAACATAGACAGGGATAACGTGGACGTCTTCAGCGTTCAATTAAGGAGAGTGCACCCGCCGTTGACAGATGTCAGATTCGCCGCACATGGTTCACTGTACTACAAACCAGTCAGGCTGAATGGCATTGTGCTTATGCATCGCGAAGAGGTAAACGTTATTCAAAAGAAAGATTTTGAAGATTTAATTTTAAATTCTTTGAAAGAGAAAATTACATGGAATAAAGATCAAGAATTTAAATAAATTCTTATAATAGAATTCATTTAATTAACTAACGCGTATTTATTTGATTTCAAATAGCTTAAAAAATTAAATCGCATTTCCGACAGATCGAAAAAGACGTGGGTATCAACGTAACTATGGTCGGCATCGACGAATGTTACTACGAGAACGAGATGTGTGAAGGAAGTTGTACGAATACCCTTGATATCAGCAACCTGCCATACATGGTGAACGCGAATAGGACTGCTCTTGTTGGCGTACGCGTTGATGTGATAGCCGAGTGCACTTGCGGAGCGCGAAATTTCAGCAAAGGCGAATCCTGCAGGAACAGCCCTTGCTACAATGGCGGACGCTGCGTGGAAGACCGATTTGGATTATCGTGAGTGAAAATCAATTAAATTTCACGTTAACGTATTGCAAATCACAATCATTTATGCAAGGTTTGTTATTAATAAAAATAAAGAATTTTATCTTTGTAAATCAAGATAAATTAAAACTATTATTTTATTAAATAATTTCGGTTTTTTTTTTTTAATATTGTTAGGGCCCTCTTTATGTGTTTTACAATTCTAGATGTCAATGTCCATCTGGCTATAACGGTCCGAGGTGTCAGCAGACCGCCAGAAGTTTCCGAGGCAACGGATGGGCCTGGTATCCCGCTTTGGAAATGTGCGATAACAGCCATTTGAGCTTCGAATTTGTCACAAGAAAATCTGAAGGATTATTATTATACAATGGCCCGATTGTTCCTCCCGAAGTCGATGAAATAATGGTTTCTGGTAAGATTTTTAATCCTTCGAATTTTTACATTTTTAATAGCGTATCAATAATTTTATTACGCTAAATATGTCTACAGACTTTATTTCAATTGAATTGGAACGTGGTATACCGAGACTACTGATTGATTTTGGATCTGGCACTTTGGAGTTGAAAGTGAAACCAAAGAAAACCTTGGACGATGGCGAATGGCATCGACTTGATATTTTCTGGAACACGGAGGTAAAATCGATATTATATTGTTTATTTGTAAATCTTAATAAGAAACGCATGTACTAATGTTTAAAAAATAAAAATCATTCGTTATACTCTCTAATAGGTAAATTGCCATACATATTCCTTACTATAAACCATAAAATAATAGCTATTTACGATTTTCCAAAAAGATTTAAATTACGATCTTCCTAAATACAAAAAATAGTCCTAACATGAGAATTACCTACAGACCGTGAAGCTCATCATCGACTACTGCAAATCCGCGGAAATATCTGAGCTGGAGGATGGAAGCCCGCCAGAATTCAATGATACCAGTTGTCAAGCTACGGGAACTATACCCCCGTTCAACGAGTACCTGAACGTAAACGCACCGCTGCAGATCGGCGGTCTCTACGTAGAGCAATTCGATCCAACGCATTACAAGTGGAAACATATGCCGGTGGGCAAAGGCTTCGACGGTTGCATCAAGAATCTGTTCCACAACAGCAAATTGTACGACCTTGCTCACCCGGGTCTTTCGCGGAACAGCGTCGCTGGTTGCCCGCAAACGGAGGAGATTTGCAACAATCAGGAATCGACCTTCCGTTGCTGGGAACATGGCACTTGCGTCGGCAGCTTCACCGAGGCAAAATGCCAGTGCAATCCCGGTTGGACCGGTCCCGGTTGCATGACACCGACGATCCCAACTACTTTCAAGCCCCAGAGTTACGTCAAATATGCGTTGTCCTTCGAGCCGGATAAATATTCCACTCAGGTGCAACTGAGATTCCGCACTAGAGAGATGCACGGCGAATTGTTCAGAGTGAGCGACCAGCATAACAGAGAATACGCCATTTTAGAGGTAAAAACGATGTGTTTTAAAAACTATTAAAGGATTATTTTTTTTAATACATTTATTTTCAATAAATATTTCCTAGATTTACAAAATATATATATAGCCGCCAATTAAATAATTCTAATTATTCAAAAAATTCACTATTTTTTTAATGCAAGTTGTAAACAATTGCAATTTAAAGCAATTTAATTTCACCATGTATAATATTTCTTGCATGAGTTATTTTTTTATATTACTTTTAACAAAGTAAATATTTAATTACAATTACAAATCTGCAATTTTTATATAATAAACATATTTTATAAAACAAAATTAATTAAAAAAAATCTTTTTGTTGGGACTTCAAATATATTTTCAAAATATCCGGATTTTTAAATTTTACAATGTGTATTTATTTTTGGATGAATTAGGTTTACTAACAGATTAAATTTTAAAACAGATTAAAATTAATAATTTTATAATTTTGAATAAATTAATAGTTTTATGGCTCCACAAAAATAATCCAGTACAAGCAATATGCCTATAAGCTTCCACGGTTGTTAGTGTCGAAGTTACATATTCATAAAGCAATAAGATATAATTTGCAAACAATTGGGATGTATTTACCAAACAAAGTTGAAATGTAAACATTTCAACTTTGGGTTTGAATTAACTTCAGTACGGAAGTCAAACTATAGTGAATCGCGAATTGAAACGTCTATTCCTTCTAATTTCAGATCAAAGATAGCAGACTGCACTTCAGATATAATCTGAACAGTCTTCGGACAGAAGAGCGAGATATCTGGCTCTCGGCAATAGCCGTAGATGATGGACAGTGGCATACGGTTAGAGTATCGAGATACGGATCTGCCGCAACTTTGGAGCTGGACGGTGGCGAAGGACGAAGATTCAATGAGACCTTCTCCTTCGAGGGTCATCAATGGCTCCTCGTCGATAAACAGGAAGGTGTCTACGCGGGTGGCAAAGCGGAATATACTGGTGTCCGCACATTTGAAGTTTATGCGGATTATCAGAAAGGTAAATTGCTTCACAAAAGTAATTAACATAAATATACTTTTTTACTGTAGTATTATTTTTAAATTAACTTATATTTATTTTATTGAAGAGAGACATACTACATAATTTTTAATTGTAACTTATAATTTATTTAATTAAAGATACCTACACTTCATACTTTTAATAATTTTCTATTTTGACAAATATAATATTATAAAACAAAACGTATATCTATATATAATAATATAAGAAATTATAGTTTCTATTGATAACTTTTTATTTGAGAAATTAATTAAAAAATCGAATTAACTTTTTAGTTTATTATGAGAACTTTATAATCATTTCTATTTCGAATCTTTCACATAACATAATAAATTTGTTAATATTCATATAATTTTTAATAAAAATTTCAGGTTGTTTGGATGACATAAGATTAGAAGGAAAACATCTTCCGCTACCACCTGCCATGAACGGGACTCAATGGGGTCAAGCAACGATGGCGCGAAATCTGGAAAGGAATTGTCCGTCAAATAAACCGTGCGCCAATGTCATTTGTCAGGATCCCTTCGAGTGCATTGATCTTTGGAACGAGTACGATTGCACGTGAGTATCATTATTACTAATTTTATTTATCTTCGAGACAATCGATAAATCACGTTTTTCAATGCAGTTGCGGAGAGGGAAGAATCCCTTCGCCAGATAACAAAGGATGCATGGACAAAAATGAGTGTATTGACTATCCCTGTCTAAACGGTGGAAGATGTATCAATCAGGATCCACGATTCCGATACCGATGCATTTGTCCTGATGGTTTCTGGGGAGAAAACTGCGAATTAGTTCAAGAAGGTCAAACGCTCAAACTGAGTATGGGAGCATTGGCGGCCATTCTCGTTTGTCTTTTAATCATTCTCGGTTAGTACAAACATTTACATATTAGACACTTGAAATATTAAATATATTGTTCATTTGCCATGACCGATTAATTAAAAAAAAATATATATATTTTTTATGCACAAATTAATTTCAATTTTGAATCATTAAAATTTTGTAATATTAATTTTAAAATATAATTTTAGTAATAACTAATTGTAAAGAAATAAATGTATATTTTTTCACAAATCTTTATATTTGTTCTCTTTCTACAAGCTATTAAAAAAAAAGTACAATTTGCTTTTTTTAAAAATTACAATTAATTTTTTTAGTTATGTCGTTGTTGTCACAAATGAACGATATAATTTAATGCATGCCTTTTATTTCTTTCTATTATATGCATATCTTTTTATTTTATAAGTTGTATTACATCTTTGATAATGTTATTTTTATTTTATGTTTTTAAGCACATAATTATGTTTCAGTTCTTGTTTTTGTGGCCACTAAATGATCGACCAAAAAATAAAACAAGTTTTATAAAAGTTTGCTTTTTATTTTATTTCTTCCCTTGTAATTATACACTTTTTCTATATATGCGCATCTGCTTTGATTATTTTCATAACGCACTATGCCTATAATTAGAACTAAGATATTTAAGATCGCACAATATATGGCTTCGTCAATAAACCTTGATTCAAGAATAATGTGTTCCGACTGATAAGATTGATACTTGCTTTGTACATTGCAATATTATACAACACAGTCGTTGTTATGGATTTTGTTACACTTTGCACTTACTTGAATTCTCAGTAGAGAAGTATTATTTTGATATATTTGATAACAATTTTGTTCAACACGAACAATGTGAATTAATTATTTTAATACCAAAATTTTAGTTCTCGTGTTGGTATTCGTCGTCTACAACAGAAGACGAGAGGCGCACATAAAGTATCCTGGTCCGGATGACGATGTGAGGGAAAACATTATCAATTATGATGACGAAGGTGGCGGAGAGGACGACATGACCGCGTTCGATATCACGCCTCTGCAGATCCCGATTGGTGGCCCGATACCGGAAATGGGTGGCAAGCTGCCTCCGTGTAAAGTAGCCTGTATGTTATATTTTTTTTATTACAAGGTAACGGAATAATTCATAAGAATGGAAGAATAATCGAAACGTTATTTTCAGATCCACTTGGACCGGAACCGAACGTCGGTGTCTTTATCGAAGATCACAAGAAGAGAGCTGACAGTGACCCAAACGCACCCCCCTTCGACGATTTACGGAATTACGCGTATGAAGGTGGCGGAAGCACCGCGGGTTCTTTGGAATCATTAGCCTCCGGTACGGAAAAAGAAATCTAATTATTTCACTTTGTAGAAAAAAGTATAACATACTATATCTTTTACAAACATTTCTAAATTAAAGAAACATTATTTTTGCAAGAATTTACTCCATTATAATACAAAACATTCATATCAATAAATAATATCGATATATTTTTCATCATACTGTAAAAAATGTTTTGCATTAATGTTTTTTGTGTAATTTTTTACATATCAAATATTTGTGTTATTTCCTAATATATTCATCTATGTTAAATTAACATAAAAATTTGGGTGGACCGTTAGGACACAAATTTTAAAACACATCTTTTATATGTGTGATATATTATTTGTAATAACAAATAAGCTATCAAGATTTAATTTTTCCTAATCCTGTATAGGTACGGATGATGAACAACACGAGTACGAGTATTTAGGCGCCTGGGGCCCGAGATTCGACAAATTGGCCGACATGTATGGTCCCGCGGAAGAGAGCGAAGAGGAGGAATAATCAGCCAAGTATACAGCCGAGTCTCCACATCACATTGCACCGAGTAACGTGATCCACATCGTCCGAATGAACGCTCGTGAGACCACCTCGGTCGAGACGACCCGATCCGTCACGTCGGATGACAGAGATCGTCATGACGTACATTCGGAGGATCTCGAAGGAAAAAGAGAGCACGGCTTCCTTCGCCGAGAGTGATAAATTCCCGACGAGCAACGAGGGACAGCTTCCTCGTAGTTGTGCAGCTAGTGAAAGTACTAATTACACGTGACGTCATACCCATCGCGTCACGCGACACGTTGTCGCGTCATCGGCGCTGCGTGGACGCAGGCACACGCGGGCACACACGTACTCGAGGGTCACAGGTGCATAAAGGAACGTTGCAATAGCGCGACGGTATACGTAGAAAGGTGGTAAACGAGAAGGCAGAGAAGTCGCAGCATATATTTAACTGTATAGTACGTTATACGTAGTGAAATATCCAAAGACACGCGACAAAGACTTTTTCTAATGTGAACCCTTTTCCCGTCATCGACTCCGCTCATCGGTCACCATCGGTAAATTCACCCCATGCATACACCTATATATACATATATACGTGTAGGTATAATATCGCGTCGTTGTCGTCAAGTGTCGGATCTTAGATCGACGTGTCGTCCTCGTGCAACCGGGATTCGTTAATTTATTTAATGTCGCGAATTCGGCGACCGTGTTAGATGTGTTGTAACTGATTAATCAAGGGCATTCACACACATTCAAACATACGCATATACATACACACATATACGTTAACACGATACCGACGATACCGTTCAAAGGCGGCATGATTCGTCGTTACTCGGCGACGATCCTTCGTTTCCTTCGTCTCACGAACTCTTCGTTTCTCCGTTCTTCTGCACGACGTCCCGCGGGACGTATCCTCGACAAACAGTACACATTTCGTTGTCCTGAATGCGGAGGAGTCTTGGAAACAACGCACTCTCGTTCATGACGAACGATCCTACCGTAGATAGTCTGCCATAATAGGAATTATCGTTAAGATATCGTTAATTGTCGCGAGATCGGCTCATTGTCGTCATCGTCATCGTCACCGCCATCCTCATTACCGATAGCATTATACTATTAAATATTATAATATATTATATAAATATATTATAAATATGGATTTATATAGAAGCGCACGACGAAATGAATAAGGAAAGTGATTAATGGAGGAAGTCCGTGAAAGGAAAAAGCACGAGTTACCGCGCGCGCGCAGTGTAATTATTATAATTACGGTATAGCGGACATAAAGTCTAAATATAAATACAAATATAAATATATATATATAAATATAAATACAAATATATATTATACATACAGACAGAGAACACGTACGAACATACAGACAACACAGAGAGATGAAATTTACATTCGCTAAAATATGCTCACACCGTTGATATATCTTGATATAGTTTTAATATTTATTTTACTTTTCTCATCTCTCAAAGGAGATCGGAGCGCGGAAAGCATAACTAGCACGGCACGAGATATATGGAGTAAGTGTGCACGAGAAGTCGAGGGAAAAATGAGAAAAATGTAGCAGAATTCCATTCTAGTCATCCCGAATTGTTTGTTGAGGCATCATTTCTACATAGAATTTCTTTATCTTTTTTCTTCTCTTATTACTGAACAAGCTGACTGACAATGAATTTATATAATAAAAACACAGTTATATGCATTAACAATGCAGGATCTCCGTTCAAGATTTATCAGAATTTCTATGAGTTTTTAGTGAATCATTGAGAAATTCTTTTTGTTAAAAAAAGTATCTGCAAAACGTTCGCGAACGAAAAAGTTAAATTTAAAAAAATTGCGCGGTTTGTGGGTTATCTCTATGTTTTGATACAACGTTAAACCAATAAGTATCAGGTTGTATCTCACCTCGATAAAGTAAATTGCAGTGTTTACGAAACATTTGGATTTAATGATGTATTAAGACACGGAGATAACCCGTAAATACACATAGCTTCTTTAAAGCAAACAGGAAATCCTAAAAGTATCGTTTAACTTTATGTAAAAAAGATTGTGTTAAAAAGCTATTAAGAATTAAATGATGAACGAAGTCGATACACAATTTCTAAACGAGATCAAACGCGAATTAAGCGAAATCAAGATATTTTATGTAGAAAAAATTATCATTAATCGCAATTAGTTAAACGGTAGATTTTTATCAAAGGGAATTAATTCATTTAATGCGAAATGAGGCTCCACGAGCTCTTCGATGCCTCTCGGCGACTCGTGCATGTGCGATTATATCATCGCGCCTTTCGTGAAAGGAGACTTTCCACGCACCGAGCCCCGACTGAATCTGTAAAATTCTCAACGGGAATATTAATAGTCAATTTACTGGTTAGAGAAAGAGAGAAAGAGGGAGGCCGAAGAGAGAAGGCGTTAGGAATACGTCGTAAGCACTTGTACGAATATTGTAATTAACATGTGTATGAGTGTGCCGGCGCGCGCAGTATTCGCGTCACTGCGCATCGCCGTATAATTGTCCTACCAATGATCGTGTTTGCGTATGGTTTTTCAACGAATTTGTGATATTAAGTTGCGTATATCTACAGCAGTACACGTCCCCGCGTACTATCGTCGTTCCTCAAAGACTGCGAGCACCGAGCACGACGACCCAACAAAAGTAAAAGTCTAGAAGACATCTGAAGAATATTGACGAGAGATTGGAAGTCTCAGGCATTTGTTTTGCACGTTACGGATTTATAATAATAGCTTTCTGTAGCGCAAAACCATGGCGACAATACTCATCACAACGCGACAGTTATTCAATAAAGCGTCTCTCTTAAACCATTCAATATTAAATTATCATCAAGTAGCTTACGGAAAGCTCACAGAATTTTGAACAGTAGAAAATAAATTCTTTCGCACTACATCGAATGTCCAACGTAATTTGACCAACGCGTTATGGGACAGCAATAATCCTACCTCGAGCAATAAGTTTGGTAGCAATAGATGCACTTCTATTTTTTGATTATAGTTTTCTTTAATCCTCGTTTTTTTAATTTACTTGATGTATTCATTGTTGATACCTTCATATTTAATTAAATTGAACATTTGACTGAGAAGAATGACGGATGAAAAAAAAGGAAAATACGTTATCTTTCTTCAAAACTAAAAAAAATTGCTTGAGAAGCTCTTTCAAGAAAATAGTTTGAAAAACGAAATTTTGTTGATATTTTATAGAAATTTTGATTGGAAATTTTTGTAAGTCTAAAATTTTATGGCTCGTACAGGCAAAATGAATTTTATTTAAAAAAAAATTATGCTTTCTCGGTGCCCGCACGTCCAGTTCATTGAATCCTGTCGTTCATCCTAGATCCTTTAGTTTCTCCAGACATTCCCATCATCGACTCTACCCTGTCAAGTAGATTCTAAGCAGAGACAGTATTTGAATGAGGTTATTGGAGGACGAAAGAATTATCGTTAAGTAACTGTATTGAGTAGCGCGCGAGCGCGCGTCGCGTGTGTGCAGTGGCAAAAAAAAAAAAAAAACAGACACAGGCAAGCCTAATTATGCGAGTATACACGTCGATGAGGTGCGATCGATTGTTTATTTATTTTAAGCATAAGAAAATATCGTCTTTCTAATTTAAGTACCATCTAAATTTTTTTAAGTTTTTTCTACGATAATGATTCAATTAATTCGTTTACGGAAAAAGTTTCCTATCATAAAAATTAAAAATTGTGTGAAATTGATTTAAACTACTGTATACTTGAATCAACGTATTGATCAAGTTTGCACTCTTGTGATTGTACAAACTTGATAAAAAATCCGCGATCGCGTGCATCGACGAAGCTCGAAGACTCTTCCATTCGCTCGACCCGTGCACCTCGATTGTTTTATGTAAAAGCTTTGAAAAACGGTACGTGCGTTTAAAACGTGATGACCGAAAAATATATAACAGAAGCGAAACCTAAAGTTCTAAGGTTGAGAGAGTGCAGAAATTGAAACCGACATCTTACAAAGCTCTTTGAAAAGTATTTAAGATATTTAAAACAGATTGAAAAGATCAGTATGTCTTTTAAATATCTCACGATCTTTTTAAAATACCTTTACAGCATTTTTTAAATTCAGAATATTTTTAATAAACTTATACTTCAATATATAAATATGAAAATAATCTGTTCAAATAATTTGTATACATCATTATTATTTATAAACTTAAACAATATTACCATTTGTAAAAACAAAATATTTTTTACAATGACGATAAAAACCTCATTATGTAATTAAATCGGTTTCGATTTTTGCATAAAATCTAAAACGTTAATGAGCAAATCAGAGTCCGCGAGTCTATCGCTCAAAACACAAAAATGCTCACGGACGATTTCATTTGCGATCGACTGACTTTAATCGTACTTACATATTCAACGGCATTGAAGATTTCATGAAATACGTAAATTACAGAACTCAAAGAATGTTCGAACAGACACGCAAATTTAAATGGGCAAAGGAACACATGACTGTTCGAACAAAACAATTAAAATAACGATACGTTCCTTAAATCCATTCCAATGCAATTGTCGCAATATTAATATAATTAATACTAAAAGATTCGGCTCAAAGTAATTTGTCGTCATTAAATTAGATTAGTCTATACTTAGTTCGTGCGTATAAAATTGGCGTTATAATCGAAGGCAAATAAGTTCGAATGTTCTATTTGTAATACGGGAATTTATCTAAGTATGTACTTACGAAATCTTTTAAAAAGATCTCATTTTACAGTACATTTTACCGCAACTGAAGATCGCTTCGGTCGCAACATAAAAATATGCTCATCCCCCCCTACATATCCCTAACTTTTTCTGAGCACTGCCTAATCGTGCACAAAAGTACACTTTGTAAGCGGGGTACTATAGGGCCGAGCGCGAGCAAACTCGTACATAATTAAAACACAACCAAATTCTATTTATTTTAAATAAAGAGATAAAAGACAGAGAGAAAAAAAGGACGAAGAGAGAAAATGGCAAAGCTCGCTTCACATTATTAGGAAAGACAATAAAGAACACCTCTTGTTTTTGACAAGCTAGCTTTTTTCTATTAGCACTATAAACCAATTTTATTTATTCCAAAAAATTATAGTATTTTTGATATTATTAATTATTACGTTAGGTCGTTAATAATTAAATTAATGCATTTATTAAAATTAAAAAAAAGTGTGCAATATTAAAGTTTACTTTTTCTGCTCATTATATTAAAAAAATCTTTTTCCTAGATTTTTAGCACATAAAAAAAAACACATAATGTATACTTGAAAATATCCTCTATATAAAGAATTTTATAAAATAATCTACTTTCGCAAGTTAGAGAAATTTAACATTTAAAAGAGGTGTTCTTTTTAATGTCATGGATCAATGTTCTTTCACAGCAAAATACAGTTAACGATCGTAGAATAAGAAGGATTTATTATAAAGAAAGATGACTTTATCTGTTGGTCGACGAAAAGAAAGATCACTGTAAGATATACATATTATTACATAATGTAACGCTGCCACTGAACACATCCCGTTAGTACAATTACCGTATATAATAATAATAATAATAATAATATTAATAATCCGCAGTATACTGGGACACACCGTATTATTAATTGAATTGATATTTATTAACGATTATAATTATTATATTATTACCACTATATTATCTATACCATTTGTACTTTACACTTCAGTTCGAACGAAATAAATGCCTTCTTTTTCATAAAACCGTCGATTAGATTAGACGATAAACTGTTTCAGTTTTTAATTAAATTATATTAGACTACTTGCATCAATTATTTGTCAAAACATCAATATCGGAAAAATGTTTATATTTTTTATAAGATAATCCTACAACGATCAAAAATTTGAAATAAGTCTTTCTTCTATATCACGATTTTTTTATCTTCTCAGCATATTCAAAACGCTATCTCTGGTGGTTGTTCGTACGATTCTTTCTGCGGCTATTTCTGCGATTTATATAACGATATTTATCTTCTTTGTTTTTCTTAACTTCTGAAAACTCGCTCCATATACGTTGCCAAAATTTGGTTCCCAAATGCGACAAGAAATACATTACTCCATTATCCCTGAATTATTGATTACGTTACAATAAATAAAATCTGTATCAGCTCTAATTCAGTCATTTTTTAAATAAAGGATTCGTATTTTATTACTGTCATTACAAAATATCAGTAATAAAACAAAATTATTATAAACTCACGTTAAATCTTTGAAATCGACAGCCTTTGTAACATGAAGAGTAATTAGAAAAAACATTGTCGCTATTACATTAGTGAGAATCGTCATGAATGATTTAATCGTACCAAATATGGAAAAAATTTCGGCTACATTTCCCAATTTTAATCGACTGGATATGAGTATCTGCCCACATTAGTTTTTGGTAAGTATAAATGTCAACATACATTTTTTATACATAATTATTTAAATGTTCACATTAATTTTCAGTAAATATAAATATTAACACAAAATAGTTAATTATTAAAGTTATTTGGATATGTTACTATAATATTAAAATTAAAATAGATTAATTGATAAAAATTGTTACGTTACGGGATAAATTTTCTTTGGCAGTGTGCTTAAAATGAGTACATCTATCGGCGTCCATATGCATGCAATAGTAAATTCTAGGAAGAACGCGGTTACTAGAAACTGCAATTAAAAATAGAGAAAAGATGGTAATGTAGAAATATAGAAGAAAAAAGCATATTCAGCGACACACTAACCTCATATAAACACATAAAAACAGGTTTCGGTTCTCGAAAAGATTGTGGAAATATCGTGGAATTGACGATGATAATGTAGACACTTGCAGCAATTAAAAAAGAAGTAACTGATGGACTTGATATCAGAGGATAACCAAATTCATCTTCCATAGCGTTAGCAAAACATGTTTGAAAAATTGGTATTCTTAAACTGTTGAGCACTAATGCCCATATCGTACATGATAATCGTGTCATTCTTGATAATAATACTAAATAATCGCAATTTAGCCATTCAGATTTAATTTATAGATCGCCAATTATGAGAAGAGAAAAAATATTTGACATTTACAATGAAGTTAGTTTAATAATTTCTAGTTAATTAAATCAAACATAAACAGTTCTTCAAAATAATTGTATTAAAATTTAAGTTTGTGTGTAATAAATATATTTGTCTGAAAAAGCATATCGATATAATGTAATAGACTTACGAAATAGTAAACTCATGGAACAATAATATTTTAAATTTGCAGTATAATTTGTCAATAAATTCCATTACTTTTCAAAGTTAAATTAGTAAAATAAAAAAACCTATATTTTTGTAAATATTTGTATAATGCAAAATGCAACGCGCGGATGATTAACGCAATAATAATTTTAGAAAATATTTCAAGATATTTATTAAACGTAAAAACATATATATTACAAATTTAGCAAATTAAAAAAAATTATAATTTCTAAAATTTATTGTAAAAGGATTCATTTGACAGAATTTATAAAAGAATGATTGAGTCACTTCAGGATTGCTGAAGGTAACCTTTTTACGTTTGGGATGTCCTGCATTCGTGAATTGCACATATCTCGAGAAAAACAAAAAAAGAATTATTATTAGATTATAATTACATACAAAATTAAAGCTTTTAATTTTAATTAAAAGACTATTTAATTAAAGGTTATATTAATTCTGTTTCTATGTAAGGACATTAAATTAAAATGCTCCAATCTTTAGTAAATATTCCAAAGTTTATAACTATAATAATATTTAAGTAAAATAAAATATTCTGCTGATGGATCAGAATAAAATAAATGCACACTATTTATATTTTGCAAAGATTTACATTTTGTTGAATTTTACGAAATTAAATTTGAAATTTCTTTTTATTAAGAATTGTATATTTACGAGTTGATAAACTGCTGTGTAATTTTATTACATGTCTGACAATTTTGCGGATAAGATTTGAAGTTTTCAAAATTCACTACTTGCTCCACGTATCCAGAAACGTGTCCAGTGTTTCAGTGGCGTCTAACATCCACACAAATGACAATAATGACATGCAAAATGCCATGTACGTGGCTGCGTAGTCTGTAGCCATGTAATCCGCAAAGGAATATAACCAAGAATAACTATCGAGACCCATAGTTCTATTCAACCACATTAACTAAAATGAAAAATGAGAATATTTCAAAACTTGAAACTTCTATCTATTGGAAATTCCGTTTCTCGCATGGCGAAAATTTCGTATAATTGTATAAGTAAAATTTATCAGTAATAATTTTCCATATTTTCATATATTATATATTAAATATACATACCCACTTATTAGATTCATGAGTTAGACAGAAAATTGCATGCATCATTGGTACCCATACCATATGGATTGCTAAATTCGTGCTCAATGCAGCTATTAACATCTACACAGTAAAATCGATTTTGAATCAATAATATAATAGTATAATAGTTGTCCAATTCGATATTATCTTGTCCACATCATAAAAGAAATTCTCTCTCTCTCTCTTACTTAATAATTATCTTAATCCAATAACTTTACATATTTACATTACTTAACCAAAACGATATTGTATGAAAATATTACATTTGTTTTTTTTTTATATATTTTAAAACGGTTTTAAAGAAATCTCTAAATGATGGTTCTAAGTCTAAGACTCACTTCGTAAATGTATAATAGTTGGATTGGTGGTTCTTTAAGAGTTATAGGCCATAGTCTGTATTCCGCTAATAGACACAAAACTGAGAACACAAATAGTACCGACGCGTATGATGGATCGAAAGGCAAAGCGTTCTCCTCCTCAAAACACAGACCAATTATACAGATTTGTCGCAAATGAGTATATAATCCTGTTGCTACTACAGTAATCCAGTGAGGATCTATGAAATTCGCATAGTATTTCACAGTTTCCATTTTACGTCAACACACAATCTTTTTTAAGAAAGTCTTCTCAAAAAGTTTTGTTTGTGTGCCTTTTGTTCTGCGATGATTTTCCTCACTATAATTTCAAATCAAAATCGCAAGATTGATCAACTAAACCTAAAAGAAATACTTTTAAGAAAAACATTTTTTAAGTAATTAAATAGCCTATTTTTTTAAAATTACATTTCCATTTTCATTTTAGGAGTCCTTTATTTAATTAATCTGCTCATTGTAGTCCAATATTACAAAAGAAAAAAAATATTCTGACACGCATTAATTAATATTAAATGAATAAACAAGATAAACGATATCGTATATATACTGTCTTTCAAGATATTAGATGTTTGTCACGTTACTGAATTATTCTATTATAATAACAAACCTCGCATCGTGATAAGAACAGTTGTAAAAAAACGGTGACTTTACAAAGCTATGCAGTATTTGATATATATAAGGTTAAATGCGGCGATTTTTGGTTAATATTTCATTTTTAATATCGGCGACACCATATATAAATGTTTGATATATTATATCTTCACTAATATTTTCACCAACATTAACTGTCGATACAGAGTATTCTCGCTCGAACTGTTAATTTATCGTTGCACTATTATTATCTCAATGTCCACACATCGAATACGCAGGTTATAAAACTGTCCTATTATGCTGCAAACATCAAGGCGTTCATGCTTCTGTTTTACAGAATATTTTAATTTTTTACAAAAAATTTTTAATATCGTCAATTAAATTAAATAAATTTATATAAAATTATTAATATTATTATAGTTAAATTAATCATATTAATGATTTAATAAATGATTTCATTTAATTTTTTAATTATCAGTTTTATTGTTAGTTTCCCTTCATTAAATATGAAAGTAATCGCTTATCTAGTTCCTCGCTATAAGACCGATGATTAAAATTCCTACTTTAAACACTAAACGTTGAATAATTTTTTAATAACTCACAAATTTTTGAAATATAGTTTATCTTACTTAACAATAAAACATAAACACGAATTAATCAATATAAATTAAATGTTCTAATTATGACTTTTTATATTTTTTCTTTTCTTACAATGATATCAATGCTCTCAACTCGGATTCAGTATACAAGAAATCGACTTTATTATTCAATACCATTTGTTTTCTTAGCAGCTACTATCTCTAAATGCAATGCATTATGTATGAAAGCGAATACCATTGTTTTGGAAAGGATAAATCCTGCTATCAGATGAAAGTGGTAGCTATTGCGAAGAAAAACGACTATACTTCTTTTTTCATTAAAGTGATAGACCATAAAAATAGCAGTAGAAATATTGTTATATTATGCATCCAATGTACAAAAGTATCATTATGGAATAAACTTCTTCTGTTTCTCGCCTCCCACCGTCGAGTCACAATAGGTCTGTCCGCGTTGCTTGTAATTTTTGGATTTAGCGTATTCGCTTTTTCTCTTTTCAGTGCTCAAGTATATACATCCATCTCATTTTAAGTTTAAAAATTTTGGGGAATTTCAAACAAAACTAACAGACCTAATGTCATCGCTGCGTGAATTCAAAAATAGATTCTTCTGCCACCTGTGGCAACGTAATTCGAAACAACACGCCTCTTATATAATTCTTAATTTTAATTTTACGTAGCTATATAAATTGTACTTGCTACTCTTATCCTCTTCTATTCTCATATATTCTCCTATGTATATTCTCTTAATAATTTTCTCAAAATTGTCGATGTTTATAACTACTTTTGCTTACTGTAACTTTAATCTATTGGTGTGTAATATTAATATATTATGGACATGGTAAAATTTGTAATGAATTTTGCGGTAAAATGTAATGATAATTTCTCTTGATGCAGCGAAGTTGATAACACTTAAAAATTATAGCGATAAATAACAGTTCCTAAAATCTTGTTCATGCATCTGAGTCAGTTTGATCCTCGCGCAAATTCTTAAGAGTTAATAAAAATAAATATTATTTATAAAAGTAAGTATAAAAATTATACAGAAAGAATTCTCTTCCTCTTTGTATTTTTTCAAATAAGTAAAATGTCTACAAAAAAGTAATTGTGTGTCCTATTTAAAATTTCTAATTTCTATTTATATATTTTTTGTGTGTATTATTTTTAATTAGTGACTTTTAAAAGATATAAGTGGATTATTATATACTTATCTGGAAGAAATTAACGATTTCTTCTTCAAATGAAGAATGAAGACGATTAGACGGAAATAAATCAATCGAGAGTCTGAAAAGAAAGGAGATGTGGACAAGAGTATTCCATTAACTGGCAACACGGAGTTCCGAGTCACATAAAAATATTTATTACGTAATTTGAAAGAACAATTTTAATCATATCCGTAACAAATCGATTCGTATTTTCTTTTCAAAAATATTAAAAATGGAAACTTGTAACGTGCAAAACTATAAATAAATAGTAAAGTAGTTACTTTACTATTCTGACAATGGCTGCGAGGATTCAATGTTAAAGCTCGTCGTTTCCACAGACATGGTATGGTTGAATAACTTTGGACAGAGGTACTCAACTAGGTAAAGAGAACCAGGAAATTGCCGTCTCTTCAATCTGCTCTCTCTTTTGTCTGCTCCTTATGCGGTTGACAATTTCGCTACGTAAACTCGGATTACAGTGATGACATTAGAAAAAGAGATGACATTATTATTAACATTGAAAAATAGAAGCTATTATTTCTTATGAAAGAAGTGCTAAATCTAAATGAAATTTAATGTTTAATTCTTTCTAAAATAATTTGTTCCTTTTTTATAAAAAGTAAAATAAAAAGAAGCATAATGGAGTTAATGTATATTTTAAGATTCTAAAACGAAATTTTTTCAAAAAAATCATAATAAAGTATAATAAAATATATGAAAAAATAAACACTTAAAATACTTATTAAAACACTTAAAAATTTAACTATAGATATATATCCAAAAATAACTTTATTGGGCCATCAAAATTGCTAGAATATCAAAACTTTTTGCAGTATCATTCATCGTACTTATTATAAGATTCCTACATAATTATTTTGATAATTCAGCCAAATTATCTTGAGATTTTTGTCTAATTAAAAATATAATCCAAATTAAATTAGCTTTACGAGACAATTTTTTTGCCTATGTGTTCAATTTAAAAAAGACTCGTTTACTTCTTTTTATTTATGTGATAGTACTATTTGAAGAAGTAGGATTATCCTATAAAAACGTCAGCACGTAAAAATCAAATTACTTTTCGAAAAACCAACTGTCCTGAAAGGAATTAATATCTTTCTTCGTGCTATCTGCTACAAATTATACTTTCCTTAACGCCAAGCGGCTCCTGACGTCAGAGATACAACTCCGTGGAGAAGTTAAATCTCTGATGACGCGTATGAGAGTGGCCCAATATGACTAGCGACACATTCTTGGAAAGTCCCAGTGATTACTGGAAGTCGATCTAACGGGTAGTCATGACGACGGCACAGTGCATTGGGGAAAAGTACGTACGTACATCTGTTTCCGTTCGACTTCTTTCAACGCGTAAGGAGTAGGGCAATAAAATGGAAAGAGAAAAAAGAATAAAGAAGACGGTGGTATGCGGCAGGTTAAAGAGGGAAGTCCGCGATCGAGCGAGAGTCCTCGGAGAGTCGACTACTCTCAACGCAACTTCATCCCTCTTTTCAGTTCTTCGGGTAGAGGGGAAATAACTTTTCTCGAACACACGTTCCTACTTTCTTTGCGTTCTTATGCCGAGCCGTTTCAAGATTATTATCAACTCTGTTCCTGCATATCAAGTGACTTGATATTTTCCATTCGAGGATTTTCCGTCCGATCTTACCACGATAAAATCTTGAATCATTGGGAAATTACACAAACAGGTAGTTCTCGTATACTATTTATGATTTTTAATTTATTTAAAGTTATCCCAATTTTAATTGCAACTCAATTATACAAACGGTTTCAATATTCATATATATATATATATATATATATATATA